AAAAAAAAAAAAAAAAAAAAAAAAAACAATCAACACCACTTTGTTTTGCATCCAAACAAATTAATGACTTTATTTCACCTCAAACGGTAAGTTTGATCGGGTTTGAAGTTTTTTATAAGAAAGATTATGTCAATAACAATGAAAAAAATTCAAGATAGAGCTGCAAAAAATTAAGAAAGTTACTGTTTATACAATGAGAGCACAAAAATAAAGCAGTTTTTGGCAAACTCATTATAGCTAAACAAACCTCAGATTTTTTTTTAGATTTGGTCAGTTCTTAAGACTAGACGATAACGGTTCATGGCAACAGCAGTGCTTTAGACTAAAGAATTCTGTTACTCATTCACACAACGAAAAAAAAAAGGTCATAACGTTGTGGTGGAAAACAGAATTGGATGACAGCTATTATGTTCAATTTGTGTTAGTTTTCCTTCTTTTTTTTTTTAAATTTAAATTTGATAACAAAAGATTGACTTAAAAACTCATTCACTTCCAGTTACAAAATCGACTAATATTTCATTCTGATGACACATCACATAAGAGTGTCACAAGGTGCAGTAAAAAAGAAAACAGAGAGTGAACAAAGCAAAATGTTCAAAACAATTCCTATAAATTATTACACTAAGCCGTCATCGTAAACTTACAGCTCAAATACCAATCGGTAGTCATGCTTAGCAGCACAAAAAAACGGTCAATATTCCCTATAAACCTCTAAGTTTTGTCTAAATACCTCCCTTTCTCTATTTTGAGACTTCCAAAAAGCAAAAATTGTCTCCTCCGCACTGAGTCAAAAATTTCAAAAAAAAATTTGCATCTTGGAATACCGGCTCTACCAACTACCATCCAACTCAAAAAATTTTCGCAAATGACAAACTCTTCAGGTCCAATTCTAAAAAATCCCAAATACCTTTGGAAAAATAATATTTTTTGATTTCCTTTCTTCTTCTTCTCCAGCTCTTCCCAAATTTTTTCTTCACTGTAAAAAAAAAGCAAGTTTAGTTTACACCATAAAAAGCCTACTGACCTTCTCCTGCTTCCAGCTACGAGGATTGGTAAAAATATAATTTAACCTTTATATAACAAAAACTTTTCGGCCAGACAGAGGAAAACAAGATTTTTTACAGTTGATGATATCAGATATATAGATGACAATGGTCACTGCTTGACTATGAACTGCCAAGAATGAAAAGACTACTAAAAAAATAAAATTATTTGTAAAAAGAGAGATTCCAGAGCTTCTAACATGCGTTTATTTTAGATTACAGACCACTGCAGTTCCTCTACTTGACTGTGATTAAAAAAGCTTAAAATTGTAAAACCCTCAGTTTCAGAAAAACATAATATCTTTGCAGAGCTACAGTGGTAAAAGCACAAAAGGAATTTTGGGTCAAATCAGTTGTATCACCACCCATCCCGCCCTGCCGTGAGGACAGAACGGGCTCTTTGGCAGTCAAATTTGTTGCACCAAAACCAACTCCGCCTCCACCGGTAAAAAAATTTCTACGAAATGTCAACACAGTAGTATTTAACGAACTCTTTCTTTTAACAAAACCATTTTCTAACCGACCAGTCCGAAGAAACTCAGCTTTCACTTAACCAGTAAACATTTTTAACAGTTACGATCACTACTGCCCAACCATAAACGAACGAAACTATTTCACTGTGTCAACTTCAGGTGAAACCCTTTAAGCTAAAGACGGCTCGAGAATTTGACAATGAAGATGCTTTACTAAACAGAACTGCCAAAGAAGTTGAGGTTGATCACTTGAAAGCCAAAATAGCCAACGGAGCTGAAGTAGAATTCGCTCCAAGAGCTTCCTTCATGAAAATTGCTCGCAGTATTGCGGTACATTCTTGATGTTATAAAAAAAAAAAAAAAACAAAAACAAATTAGATTTGCTTTCATCAGCTAACCCGCTGATTCAAAAATTACAAAATACCTTCTAGAAAAAATTTAATAGAAGAAAACAAGTCATTACACTCGAGAAAAATCACACTAAAAAATCTTTATTTTTTTAACTCCACCAATCTGAACACTGTTTCTATTCCGTTCTTCTGTGATCATCAAGCAAGATTTATTTGAGAACTTTTACAGGATTTGGTGGCATTTGCTGGTGATGGTCGACCACCTCAAAGAGTACAGGGGCGAGTTGCATTACCGTCATCAAGAATTCATGAAGGTTAACAAAATTCAGGTGAAATTCTAAATTTTTTGACTATCTAAAAATAGCTC